CGAGCTCGGCTGTAGCCTCGATCACGGTGGGGCTCGAACCCACATGGAAATAGGTCACCGGGGCCGAATCTAAAATATAGACACCCTATCCATGTCCATCGCGCCATCCACCGCCACCAGTTCCACGACCACCGCCGCCGCACTGGCTTCACCTCTGGCCTAACGGCACCTCTGCTCCTTGCCATACACAGATTCGCAAGAAATTTCCCTCAGGCACCCGCCAGTAATCGCAGCTCTTGAAGGTACTCAACTCCGGCAGTAGCAGCAGCAGCAGCAGCAGCAGGACCATCATGTTGATTGCAGGACCAGGTTCATGCGGACATACAGTGAGAAACAAGCGGGGAGGGCGTGTGTGTGGACAAGTCAGCGTGTGATGTGTCTATTACCGGCTCATAGCAAATCAAGCGCGCAATATATCTCGACGGTACGACACAGTGCTGCTGCTGCTGTTGCTGTGCCGCCAGCCTCCGGCCAAAGCCCACTGTGCAGTTATCACTAATCCTCGTACCGTACCGCGACATGAAAAGCACAATAGGATGATGCTCCACAAACTACGGCATACGGAAGAGTCACGACACCACAACCGATAGCAACCGACCAGTTAATCGCCCGTACAGCCGAAACAGATTGGTAATCTGCTGGACACATCCCTCAACTCAAATCAACGCACATACTGACACTCGTAATAGTGAAGTGCTCAGCCCCCCTCAGCACCACGACGGGGTGCCGCCGCCGCCACAGCAGCACCAACACGAGCCTCGGGAAGAAGACAGCGGAGCCAGGCGCCACCTAGGGAAGATCGATAAAGGGAAAACACAAGCGCGTCAGAGAACGTCCCATTTCCTAGAAACGGCGCACTTACCTCCTTTACCCGTCCGCGAGCCCATAACCTGAGCGGGTAGAAACCCACCGTACGAGCATCAGGCGAGCATGCGGTGGTCGGGCCCTGCATTGCAAAGTCCCGCTTCGCGCAAATAGCGACACGAACAACGGACGCGGAGGTGGGGCTGGCGAGTGGTGCGCTCTTGGCAGCTCCACCTAAGGGACTACTAAAAACGGACACCGGCGAGGCCTTGGCGCTTCTCAACCGTTCCTATCCTTCTCTATCTCACCTCGTATGCACCACCCGCCCTCCTGCGGAAAAACTGCTCCCTGGTGACAGACAGACAGTGCACTCCCGCGCAGGGAAGCGAGAGAGAACTCAGGCCACTACCAGGGAGACCACTTCCGGAATCCTGCTGTGTTTTACGACATGCTACTGCAGGTTTTATTTGAAACCCTTGCACCCGTACCGCACCGTACGTTACTGTACGGAACCGCACCGTACCGTGTGGCATTCATATCCGCGGTACCGTGGCAGCAGTTGCCGGAAGGCGTCGATGTGGAGCGATAGCGCGGCGTCCATTACCGCGACGGGCAGCGTTTCCCACAACGAGGTCATTAAACACAGGCACATACTGAGATACACAGCAATCATGCTTGGACGGTGGCTAGCAACGCTAATCCGGACTTTGTTTTAGGGCTGGACACCTTTCCTTAAGGGGTCTGCTCCGCTGCGCTTTGCTCCTGTTGCTCCTGCTGTTGCTGTTGCTGCTGCTGCCACCAACCGCCAGCCAAGTACGACTGCATAATCACGCGATACGCGGCGCAGGAAAACACAATCGGCACGGCGACACGAAACATGTAGTACACGCCACGATACGGCACGGATCCATATCGCCGACTTACCGCATGTATCATCTGGAGGGTGCTTGCACCGTAGATACCGCCAAGCGCCGCCGGTCAAAAGGAGGGTACGCGGTTCGGGGAACAGGTGGGGTGGGGCGGGAGGGGATGATATCGTTTGCTTTGCTACTGCTTTGCTGCTACTGCTGCTGTCGCAGCAGACCGCCAGGCAGACATGATTGCACGCTCCCAACAAAATGCGGAACTGAAAACCCTAAACAGTACGACCAACCGCAAAGCGCGAGGTATCTTGAAATTCAGGGGCTCATGCAAGGACTGCAGCTCGTGTAGCGCCCAATCGTTGCGCCCTCGGCATTGGTGTTGATATACGGCCGCCGCGCAGCCATAAGGACGTACCAGAGGCAGGCGGGAGGACGGGGCAGGAGGATGGGCGGAGGGGAAGGAATAATCAGCAAGGTACGATGAGGTGGTTCATGAGGCCGTCTTGTTTGGGTTCACGGGCGAAAAGACATGCATAAAAAATGTCTTTGTCTTTGTCTTTGTCTTTGCATGCATAAAAAATGTCTTTGTCTTTGTCTTTGTCTTTTAAAATCTTATCCATAATAGCTCACGCATTCCTACAGGTGTTTGCTTTGCCTTGTAACGATCACTGTCGCTGCTGCTGCTGCCGCTTCTGCTGCCAGCCGCCAGCCGAACACGATAGCAGGGAAACGTCCAACATGGCACCGGACAATACACCAGGCGCTGCACAGGGTACGACGAACTGCACTGTGAAGTGCAGTACAGCACGCAACGGCACTGGACGCAACGCCTACGTACCCCATCAAAGCCCACACTAAAGGTTTTCGAAATCATCAGTTCCTGCTTAACCTGTTTGCTTTGAACGCCTAGGCCCAGCATGTCATCTCCCCGTCGCTCCATGTCACCGAGCCCTAACATGGGACGAGACACGGACGAGACACGGAACATCGCACGCTGAAAGGTAGATGTAATTGTCGTCCTGCTCACAGCATTCATCGCGCAGATCTTCCAGTTTCTGCCTGTAAGCGGGCAAACAGAAGCAATTGTGAGGACAAACTTTGCGATGTAGTCTTCCTGGTGCTGCTATCCAATTGCCTGATCCTTAATGCAATCAAAACATTTCATAGCTCATGCATTCTTGGAAGACAAGAGACGGACAACTCCAACTTCAACCGTCGAAGGCGCCTGGACGACCTAGGTGCATTACAGTCAAACCCACAAAAGCCTGAGCTATCCAGCTCCGAGCCGTATAAAGCAATAATATACGTGTCTAGAATGAAAATATCTAACTGTTGATATGAAGCTAATTTCGGGCATTTGAGTTTTGGCATGGTTCTGAGTTCTGGCTTCGGTTTTAGTTGCAT